GGGAAAGAGATAATAGACTGCTCACCATTAGCAAGCAGCAACCTGAGGTGCGCATGAACAGACATTAATTTGACACAACTTACAACAATGAAGACATACTATGATTCTTTCAGGGGTTAGTCTCCAACTGATTGGGACACATGATGAGGCCTTAAGAAATAATGCCATCTGTCCAATATATTTTTTAAACACAGATGTAATGCTAATAACACCAGTGTAAACATGCTGCTTGCCCACATGCTCATTTCGTTGTTATGTGCCTTGTCACTTTCTCTTCAAAATGTTGCCAAATCACAAGGTTCCAGCTTCAACATAGAAGCTTTTGAGACACTGAAGTGAATGAAGCAAAAGCTTTTTCCACATTTCAATGTCGATCATTAACAGTATATTTATGCTTATAATTTCAAATCATATCTACCTTGTTATTACCTAATAACATATTTATCTTCCAAAGATAAAGAAAGGAGAAGGGGGCATGGGCTAGCCCTCGCAGGATTCTGGTCTTGGGGGGTGTGGAAGGGGGTGAAGTCTATGTGTGCAGACAGATAAAACTTGCACCATTTGATGTGGTTTAAACTGCAAGTTTCTAGACATACAAGCCAATTTAGAATGGTTTAAAACTTCCTGAAATGGTTCAAAAGTACATCAGGATAAATTAAGTTTTGAACCAGTCCTCCTTGACCCAGTTCAGTATTTACGTATGGAGACCAAGTTTTCTGTGACTAGTGTTTGGTAAGTCCTGTAAGCATCCCACACTGCACTGCTGCTCACCCCCACCCACCCACCTGACAGCTGGCTACTCTGGTATGCAGCCAGAACTCTTCCGAGAGTGATTTGAGCTGGGGGGGGGGGCAGGAGTATCCAGGTGGGTAGAAGGGATACCCCTACTTCTAGGTTCCCAGGATGCTCTGGGGTGGGGGGGGCGCACTGCCCAATACTCCACAGCTTTTAAACAACATTTTCCCCCAAGCCACTTGTCAGTTTCATACTAGTCATGGAAACCGACCAGATTCCAAGGCATCCCAGGTACCACCACACAGATTTTGGTAAAATAATAAAAGGTCTCTGGGTCTGAGCAAGAACTCACATGTGGATTCTGCATCTCAGAAAGGTTAGGGAGAATTGAAAATTAACACACGCATGAGCACACTCAATCATGGTAAGATTAAGTACCAGCCACAATGTATATTTGGGTTTAGTAACAAAATGTTACAACAAACATGATTTTACTTCACGTTCCACTTATTCAGTAACTTTTTATAAATCAAGAACCCTGGAGCATCCTAAAATTATTTCTGTTGTAAGAAAAGTAGTTTTCAATAAAAGCCTTAAAAATTACACTATTACTGTAACATTAGTAATTTTATTAATCACAGTGACAAGCTTTATGTCTAAAAACAAGAGGGAAGTACTATCAAGCACACACCTTCATAGCAAGTGCAATTAGAGCACCTTCTGTTGGCTTTCCCATCAAGGTGTTGTTTCTGATTATAGCATCATTGCACACACAACCAGCCTAAAACACAAAAAACCCTGAGGTCAATACAATATATACAGCCTATATTAAAGCCACTGGAGATAGACTGCTTAACTATGCTAAAATCATACCTCAACAATTTTGCTAATAGTTGGGTTGTTATATCCATGAATAACATCACCATCAAGCATCACTTCTCCAAACCTGTTATAGCCTACTCCAGTTACCTGTAAAGTACAGTCAAACATGATATCAACCAGAGCATTAAAACATTTCATATATCCAATAATCTGTTTTTCAGAATTTCCTGTACAGAAAATGGAATGGGTTACTTAAAAATGGACCAATTATACCAATCAAGAAGTGCACACCTACAGTTTCCTACTCAAGGTCTAATGCAATGGATTTAAATTAAAAAGTGTTAACTTCAGTAGTTTGTAGACAGTTTAATGTTTATACTGAACACAGTGCAAATTCAGAATGATCTAAGTACCCTTAAAAAGCTGCATTCTCAGCATTGGTAAGCAAAACATATATACATACATATATACATACACACACACACACACACACATATATAATTGCCTTGTTCCATCAGGACTTGCTTCCAGCTATTTCTTGCTCTTCAATTCCCCTTTTTTTTTTTTGTTTACCTGGACCTACAATGCATGCTCCCTGGAGGTTAGGGAACCATTTTGCAAGTTTAAGGAGAAAGGAAATCTAAAAGTGTAGCTAGGTGATCTAGGCTGACTGAAGATCAGTTCACTGGCTGAGGCCTGGGATATAGAGAGACTAAAACAATTAGTTTGTAATTATTTATTCTAGACTAAAATCTAGAGCCCAATCAGTAGTTAAATTTAGTCCCTTAAATTTGCAGCATAAACCAAATACTAAATGCCCAGATTTAGGAAGAAAAACTCAAACATATGTCAGCGAGCATTCCATACACTTTCTACTAAAATACCTGAAGCCAGTCACCATCGGAAACAGGGTACTGAACTAAATGGACCAATGGTGTGAACTCCTATAATAAGTACATGAAGCTTAAAATAAGAGAGAGAGCTTAAAAAGTAAGTTTAGGAAGCCTTTTCACTCATTCCCCTGTTTGAGGCTTGTGTGTGTTCATAGTAACTTCATTGTACCTATAGCTGAAAGGGCTTCCTACAATTTTAAATTTATTAAACTGGTATTTTAGATTAAAAATTAAAATAAGCCACAAAAATGCAAGCTGGCAAACTAGTGGGAAGTAAATAACATTTTTAAAAGGTTAAAAGAAAGGTTGCTTCTTCCATTTCACCCATTATCTATGTTTACTTTCTTCTTGCCCTCACAATTCATAAGGCTCTTCTCAGAAGCACAATGTTCTTTTGCTAAAATGCATTTCAAAAGTCCATTGGGAGAAACCAGCTGTTCTTCCCCCATGCAAATACAGGATAGCAGTTGGAAAAAATGGACTTTTAAAAGGAAAAAAAGAACAGGTCCCATTTCTATTGAAGTCAGAGGCACAAGCCTCACTGACTTCAAAAGGAATAAAACCAGATGGGAAATAAATCAAGGAATTTTGGAATTGGTATACAGTATATTCTCTTTAATTTGTCACACTTGCATAAGTCAGTGAGAAAACATGTTCCCCTAAAGACGCATCTATTTCTGCTTTTTGTTTCTTCCCATCCTCCAATTTATTCCTCCTTCCTTTCTGTGTGTATATATTTCCTTCCTTTTAGGAACTCCCAGTCCCTACCAACCATGCTTTCACTTCCTGCCTCCATTCTATCCAATTAAACGATCAGCAGTGAAACAGTCACGGGGCACAGGGTTATGAATCTATCTAGCAGACTAAATATTACATGTAGGCCACATAACCCAATATTCCTCCTCCAAAGGCTACTATAAATAATTTAATGTATATTCACATGCTGTAAAAAATAATCTTGTTTTCAATAGGAAAGACAACTGCCAAGCCTTTCAACTAGTCTTTATTTAAACAACAGTCCAGAAAAAGGTCAAAATAATGAATGCATATGAGAACACAACATGATAGCCAGAGACAAATCCCTCAGTCAGCCTTGTATTTGGCAAGTCAGAATATTTCAGCCTAGCACCTGTTACATGCACTGAAACCACGGAAATAAAATAAAAAGTTAAATATATTCCTACTGTACCTCAGCGTGCTGTCCATCTGACGTAAAAATATGAGTAACAGTCATTTCATTCTTTGTTAAAGTTCCAGTTTTATCTGAACAAATCACATTGCAACAGCCTGAAAGAACCAATTAAGTTAACGTTTGTAAGACAGTCTTGCTAGCCACAATATGCTTCACACCAAGAAAAAAAAAACAAACAAAAAAACAAAAAAAACGTAATCTAGTTTCCAAATGCTCTAAAACTTCAAGATCAGATGAACCTCTCTAACACCCATCTACATACAGCTGATCACTTTCCACATGAACTTTTAAAATTTCTTACTCTCCTCAAGAGTACGAATATGCCAAAAAACAAAACAAAGAAACAAAACAACACACTGCAACGCTGGTGGTTACAACTGGACTGTAAAAGATCTATTCATTTTTTGTAAACAATGGCAATTATCACTTAAACTGAATCAAAGAATTCACACCAGATCATTCAAAGCTATGTACAAAGTCAGGATGCAGCCAAAAACAATCTTCCAAAGTGTTTCTATGCTTTCCCATTTACTGTTACTGACTGTAAACTATTTTAATGAAGTCTTAACTGAGATTGTGTGAAAAGGAAGGCTGAGAGCTTCTATGGTATGAAAAGCTACACGCTTTCTCTAAAATATCAGTAATGATCAGTTATTACTTTATTAAGATTAATGACATTAAACAAATCTCCCTGACTTAAACTTTTAAAGCATCATATCAAAGTAGCGTTAGTATCTTCCTTGAATTTTAAATGAATTTGCTGCAAATTGGAATGCTTAAGTTGTAGATTTTAAAAATGTTTGATCAATCATACACACTTCTCTTGCATTATAACGTCTTGATAAAAAGATAAATACAGCCTTGAAGTATTAATGTTCTGTACTTCCCAAGCACTGGAGGCAGTAGAATTCGAAGTAGCGCATCTTTAAATACATGCATAATTATTAATATTTAAACACATGCACAACTCTCTAATGTTTAGGACAGAGGGACCTGCCCGGGCCAGATCCAGTCCATGGACATATTTTGCCCACCCCTGTTCTAGACTGACTATTGAGTCCCATTGGGCAGAGTGGTTTTCTTAAAATCTTTACCAGCCTACAGAGAAGCCTCTGGCAACCCCATAAGATTGGGCCCCTAATATAGTCCATGGCCTGTTGTGACCTATTTATAAAACATTGAAAAAGGTTACATGAATATATTGTCTCAAATAGTATATACTTAGAAGTTATCATCCCTATCCCATGATGATATCTTTGAACTTTAACATATCTTAAATTAAAGCTATCTTTATATATGGGATAAGATATATGGTAGTGCCCAGTCTCCCTCAGCAGGGGGATTGGGCACTGCCATATCTTATTTTTTTAAATAAAATATATGGTAGCTATGATGTAAGTTTTTTTTTTTAATAATATCTTTTTAAAATGTTTTAAATGATTAAATTAAAAACATTGGATTTAAATTAAAAAATCTGATTTTTTTTTTTTTTAAATTGTTGATTTTTATCCACCTTACCTGCAGCCCTTCATCCTCCCCCTCCCTGCTTAAATGTCAGGCCCTGCTCTCCCTGAGCACGTGGAAATGTGGGGTAAATTTGAAAAGTGCAACCTTGAAATAAACATACCTGCAGAAACTGCATATCGGCAAATATGTATATAGAAATTTTCATTTTACCTTTTTGAAACTGCTGCAAGTTTTAGCACAGCTACCCCATACAAACACTTCTAAGCAACACTTTTCTGCCTACTTGTATGTGGTACAAACTATGCACATTAGTCCAAAGCCAAAAGGCTCAGAATTACCACATAGTTCACTAGGGTGGGTCCCAGCAGAGTCAACAGTGCTTCAAGCCATGGTGACCCCACAGCTCAGCACCACTCAGTATGTGCATGTACTCCAGATACTTCCCACAAGGATCCATGTGCTAATTAGTGCCCTCTTTCCCCCCCCCCCCCCCAAACTAGAACCCAGCGTTCTTATCACAAGTCCTGGGATCCTCCAAAAATGTATATGCAGATGAGGCTCAAGGCAACCTGGTCTGGCTTCACCTCATCATATGCAACCAACTGAGAAAGGGGGGTGACAGAGGGATTCTGGGTGAACTCTTTAAGACTCCCATTTGGTGAGGTCTGCCAGACATTTAATTGGAAATGGGAGAGAAAGGCACAGCTCAGCTGTGGGAGTAAAGAGGAAGTTGAAACGTATTCAAATGTAGTGGCTCACTACAACTTGAAATAATTGGCACTGATGGGGACTAGACACTTCCATATATCTTATTCATATGGGATTCACTAACCTTTCCTTGTGGTATGGTCTCATTAGTATGTTTGCCCAATATGGACCATAGTCATGGTCAGTGTTGGCTGCATTTAATCAACTTCATAGGTGGTTTCCATTACTGAGCAAATGCTGCTATTGGCAGCAGTTTAATGATATGCCATGTATTTAATGAGGTTTCCTTTCACGAAAATATATGACAAGGGACTTCCTCCCCAATGCAGTTGTGGGGAGGGGAGGGGGAAACTCATCTTGTATTCGGGTAAATACAGTTTGTTTGTTTTTAATGATATATAGACTACACAATCTGTATAGTATAACTGCATTTTTCTAATACTAATAAACTTAAAAGCTGTTTGCAGTCATCTCAATGCTATTCCTAAACACATGCAAGACTGCTAGGGTTTAAAAGCATTAGTTTTTTTGTTTAACAAAACTGCAAGGTTATGCAAAACTAAAAAGGTTATAATCAATGAATAATAAAATTCTCCTATATACCTCTTCATCAATGAAACTATATTACTGCTAGCATAGACTTACTATTGGCCCATTAATTTTGTAGGTTTCTTGTAAAAATGATTCAATTTAAGAGAAACTTGTTTAAAGTATTACCAATGTCCTGGAAAAACCTTGGCGAACATGAAGCAGATCTTCAACAGACTTAAAATTATTGCTAAAATCATAACATTCATATCAACATCTCTATGATTGGTTCTAGTCATACCTAAAGTTTCAACAATTGGTAGCTTTTTTACAATAGCCCTTTTCTTGACCATTCGCATAACACCAAGGGCCAATGTGACAGTTACCACAATTGGTAGTCCTTCTGGGATTGCCGCTACAGCCAAGCTGTAATAAAACAGTGTAAATATTTTTTCTTAGAATTCCATATACTAGTTATAAATACATCATTACAAATTGTTATACAGAAAAAATGTCCCATTAGTAAATTAATGTCAAAGAGTAAGTGGCTGCTACTTTGTTCTAGGTAGATATCATTTAATTTGAGAGAGAGTATTCTGAAGAGGGTAGCTAACACCCTGGTTTAAGAACCTGAGATTTAGACATCTGAATTCAGATGCACCCCAATGTTTAAATGAAAATGACAGCAAATGTAAGGGGAAGATCAGCTTTAAATCTGATCCTGTTCATTTTAGTGCTCTGAGCCTTACCTAATTGAATCATAATTATGCAAAGCAAACTGGATTACCAAGTAATAAGGCTTTCAGTACATCAAATTTCTATGTAAATGTATACATACATGATGACGCAGACCATATCACAGCCATGGCTGTCATCTTGAGATTAAAGGTATAACACTATCCTACATGACTATCCTACATGAAATGGAATAACTGATAGTATGGAATAACAGAGTATAAATCAGACATGAGAGCAGATATAACCATACATTCATGGGTACATATTCGAGTGATACACAAATCTTCACTTAGTCATGATCCATGTTTTTTAAAAGGTCACCTTTTGTCCTTTACATGCACAATCCAACCAAGTGATAGGTTGAGACATTTCTTTAATGGGATCTCTGGAGAACCCTCTCCTACAAAATTCATTCCCCTCCACTACTCTAAAGAAGGAACAGTGAATTTTGACAAAATTCAAGGCCCATCTATTTACTCAAATCTGTGTCTGTGGCCACCCACTCCAAGAAATGGATTCTTCTTTTGTTTAAATGGTTATATTAGAGGGAACACAAACTTCTGATTATTACCATATTTTCTCCCATACCACATATGCCCAAAATAAATACATTCCTTGTTTTTCAGAGTAAAACGTAGGAAAATAAAAGATTTTTCCAAAATCATGGCTGACAGGATAACAGAGTAGGTCCTTCTGGAAACTGAGTGTCTTGAAGTCCAGGGGACAATCTGGGTGAGGCAAAAGGAACTTCCTGGTGTAGTAGGACAACAAGGCTAGGCTCCAAACCCTTGGAAAGGCAGTAGCAAGACTGTTACCCATTTACTATAAATACTTCTTTGTAAGTTACTGTAAATAATCAAGTGTTGTTTCCACACAATAGGCCTACTACTAATTTTCAAGTTTGTTTTAAGTTTAAACAATAAGATAAATCTCACCTCACACCAATAGTAAACATATCAAGGATATGCTTTCCTTGCAGCCAGCCAACCAGCATAATAATGCCTATAAACAAAACAGAAATAATGGTGTCTTTTCATATAAATAAAAATCAAGGTCTTCAAAATGATCAAACATTAAGCAAATCCAAACCTTCAAATACTACTCTGTATGCACTTAACTGGGCTTCTGGAACACCAGAGCCTTGATTCCTTGACCAATGAGGCATAGACTCAAGGAAGTTACAATATAGAACAGGGGCAGGCAATTATTTTGGGCAAAGGGCTGCTTATTGAGTTTTGGCAAGCCATCGAGGGCCACATGACAGGCAGCCCAGGGCAGATAAATATTAATTTTCTAAATTTTTTAGAAATTTTGAGGCCGGACAGAACGGCCTGGCAGGTCGCATTTTGCCCACCCCTGGCATAGAAAGTTTAGGCTGGAGATGAGGAGGAACTTTCTGACTATGAGGGTGGTCAAGCATTGGAACAGGTTATCTAGAGAAATTATGGAATCACCATCCTCGGAAGTTTTCAAGAGCAGGTTGGGAAGACACTTGGCTGGGATGGTTTAGGTCAGGGATGATCTTGCCTTGAGCAGGGGGTTGGACTAGATAACCTGGTGGAGGTCCCTTCTAGCCCCACTTTCCTATAAATATTGCAGGTCTGTTAGCATGGCATTATGCTTCCACCTAAACCACAAAGCAGCGCTGGCACTGAGACTCACTTATACTCGCATCATACTTTAAACAAGGAGGATTTAAAAAAAGAGGAAAAGTGAGGAAAAAAAAGGGTGTTGGGAGATATCTGTAGCAAATAAATACTTGCAAATATGAAAAAAAACCCAGTGTCTTAGTGACTTTCAACTAATATTGATCTAAGCCTATTAAGCAGTGACCAATAGTTTCTTTTAAATCATCATTCTTCTAATGCCAATATTATTCTTTATTTTGATTTACATAAAGTGTAATCAGGAGTGAACTCTGAATGTGACTAAAAAGTTCAAATGCAAATATGTTTTCTTACCTATTATACCAAAGGAGTATAAAGAAAGTTGTTTTCCTAAAAGGTCCATACTCTTCTGCAAAGGTGTCTTCGGAGCCTTAGTAAAAAGTCAGAGCACAGGGTAAAAAGTGAGTAACTTGCATTAAAATGTTAGTATTACTGCAGTACATATTGTCTCGCTAAGTTTCTAAAACATGAAAATACAAGAGAAAATGTCAACACTTATACATCCAAACAGCAGGATTATCAGATATATTTCATTTACAGAAGGAATAATGCACACTGCACTATCTGGTTACATTCCTCCATTTTTGGAGACAGCTGAAGACTTTCTAGGAGTCCTTCACTAGACTGAGGAACTTCACAGCACTCCATCTACACCAAATAAGCTACTTATCCTAAGCACTCATAAACAGGAAAAGTCTATCAGAAACTCTGAGTTTCCTGAAAAAGAAAAAAATGTGGCTTTGGATAACAGAAGGATAAATGCCATTTTCAAACCTTAAATGCACATCAAACTCCTAAGAAGCCACCTTGTACTCCCCAACAGGAATTTGCTAGAGATTAGAAGTGGCTATTTCTTAGAAAAGAACTTGACACCCAACCAAAAAAAGCCCACAAAAACACACTAAAACAAGCAAACAAACAAACAACCTCACACACTACTTACACAATTAACTTCTGTCGAAAGCAATTTACAAACCACAAGAAGAGTCAGGAAAGTGAATTCTTGTATTAGGCTCACAGAGGCTTATCTGTACAGTAATACAAGACACTGCCCTAATTAACACATTACTTTGGGGGGCAACTAAACATCAAAACACCTATAACTGGCTGAAGATACAGCAATAAGACTTCGAAAGGGTGAGGAAATAGATTACCGTCCCTGAAAGCGAAAAAGATGGGGACCAGTGAGCCTCCCACATAAGCCTTAATTACTAATTGCTCATACAAAATGAACAAAGAATAAATTTATGAAGAACCCCAACTTCTCATAAAATGAAAGTCAGTCATCAAAACTGACTGCCTCCCTAATTAGTCAGAGGACAGACAGATTAAGAAATGGAACACCTTCTGCAGTGATGTTATTCTACCCTGAATCCAGCAACTCTTGGGAATTCCAGTGTCAATAATCTGGCCACGTATACCACTAGAGATGACTCCTATTTTCCTCACTGATGAAGATACACCTTTTAGTATCTATGAAAACAAGCCTCAACGTCTCAGAGTGCAGATGGGAGCCTACATTCATGAGCGACTCACAGGCTGTTACTGAACTAATGCCAGCACTGGTGGGCAAGTGGTGACTGGAGCCTCTTAAAGCAGAGGTGTCAGACTTATCCAGTCCCATGGGACCAGATAAGGGTTGCCAGCCTAGTTTGCGAGCCAGACTGAGATGACCCCTTTGCACACCCAGGGCACTGGGCCCAGCCCACTCGCCACATGCCACACACACCAGCCCTGGGGCTTGCTGTGCACACAGCACACAGGGACAGCAGGGGGTACGCACAGCCTGCAAGCTAGATTCAACACTGCAAGCAGCACAGGAATTGGTCCAGGACACTACATAAGACCTGTGCCCCAGACCCATGCCACATACAGTGCCGAGTCCAGCCTGTGCAGTGAAGGCAGCGTGCTCCCTGTGCCCGCCCCACATGCTGTGTACACGCCAAGCCCCAGGACTGGCACATGCTACATAAGGTGCATGGGGCTAGACTGACTGCATACATCACAGGGGGCTGGCAGAGGGTATGCTGTTTGCCATGCCTCACAGGACTAGTCCTGCACTCTGTTGGCTCTCGCATGGCCTAATCCAGACTGGCCCCTGGAGCCAGTCCAGTGTAGTGTGCACCCCAGACCAACCCCCTGTGCTGTGTGAAAACTGTGCTGCAACGGATCCAGCCTGCATGCCCCATATGGCATCAGTACAACAAACCCTTGAACTAGATAATATAGGTCCATAGGCCAAATCTGGCCTGCAGGCTGTATGCTTGACAGCCCCATCTTAAAGCTTTCGCTTCTCCATCTCTTTATATCATGAAAGGTTTGGAAGACTGCTATTCATAAGTATTGCTACACTCACTCTTGGAATGACAAGGAACACTGAGCTCGTTTCGTTCTTGAGCTTCTGCCTTGACATTTAAACTGTTTCAGTGCTCAGCTTTGGCAATGAAGACATTAGTGATGACCAGGGATCTGGGTTTTCTATTTGCCACAGAAAAACATGGATTTTCTCCTTTAAAGGAGTAAAATGTGGGAAATCACAGGTTTCCCCTTGCAGGCTAGCAACACTAAAGCCTGCAAGGGATTGTGGGGAATGGGAGGAGGATGATCAGAGGCTGCAGGCGCCATGTGCATGTGCAACATGCATGTGGCAGCCAGGCAGCATAGTGGAGAGCAACTCCCCACAGACAAGTCTATTTGGGAGGGGACATGGGTGACGTGGGGAGTGGGAGGGGCATAAGTGACACTGGGGTGGGGCATGTGCCCCCCAAATTTTTGCACCCCCAGTGGAGACCCAACCCAGTAGGCAGGACCTGGCACAGGGGGGCAGAGCACGGTGGCAAGACTTGTTGCTGCCACCGCTGGGACCCCCATGCCAGCTTTGCAAGGAGTAACAGACCAGGGGGAGGGAGAGAAGAGAGAGGGGTGCTGGCTGCAGCTCTACCCTGGAGGAGAAGTGGGGTTGAGGGCAGCACAGGCAGCCTGAGGGGAACAGCAGCAGCTAGGCCATGGTGGCAGGGTAGAGCTGCGACCTGGAGTGCAAGTGGCTAGAGGTGGGAGGAGGCGAGGTCAGCATGACCCCCCTTCCCCCTCCAGTCCATAACTCCTCGCGCTGCTGGCAACGTGGCTGGTGTGGAGGTTCCAGTGGCGGTGGCAACAGTTCTCGCTGCCCCACTCTACTTTTCTGCACTGGGTCCCCATGGAGGCCCCCAGAGGGAAAGCAGCAGGGTGGGAAGCCCCAAGCCCACTGCAGGCACCCAAAAGGTTCTCAAAAATTTCTGAAGGGGTTTTAGTGAAATACTCATACCATTAAATACGACTGTTAGTTTCTCCACTAAAATTATGGAGGCTTCATGGGGATCTCTCTTGATGGAAAAATATTTACATTTACAAAATAAAAAGAAAACTAGGCTTTAAGTATTAATACTTACTTCTTCTGCTTGCATCATTTTGAAAACCTCCCCAAACTCAGAGTTTTCTCCTGTTCCGATAACTATTCCCTATAAAAATAATTAAAAAAGAATCATTCCCATTTGAGTTATTACTTTAGTATTAATTATGTTTCTTGAATAGTTGTCAACAATCTATGAATCAAACAGTGAAGAGATAGGTTTTTTCTTAAAGCACTCACATATCCTGAATTACATATTAGAAGCACTCTCCAAGGCTCTTGCACATTCTCCAGACATATTTACAGACTTCAAATAATACTTCTAAGAGTATACATTATTCTAACACCTATTCCATCAGTAAACTATATTATTTTTCCTTTGGACCCAGCAACTGAAAAACTACCAAAAAAGTTCTGTTTCAGTACATCAGAGAGCAAAATACTTCTGGATGACAAAAGGTCATACCCTTGAAGTGCTGATGTACAGATGTGTAGCTTAAATGGATGTACAAATACATTTATAAGCTTGAAGCAAATCTGGTTTCTGCTCCTTTACAAATAACTATGGCATTCAGTCTAATTTTCTCTATCAATATGATTTTACCTTTGCTTTTCCACATCTAACCAATGTTCCCATAAAAGCAATATTGCTCCTTGAGGTAAGGTCTCCATTGGTCGCAGCTGGCTGAGGTGATGTACACTTAGAGCATGGAGCAGTCTCCCCTGTCAGACTGGATTCATCAACAGAAAGATCCACAGCCTTTGGAAACAAAATACACACATTAGTAAAAGGCTTTGTCTTCTGGTACTCTTTTTAGTTTTTGGAAATCTGTTTTATAATATTTCTCTTCCCTCTTTTAAAAAGTAAATTGACAGGATAAGGAAATTACATGTCAACCAAATATGCGTCCAGAATCTATGAAGTGAAAACAAATTTCACGTACAAGCAGCTGAATGCAGGCACACTGAAGCAATGCAGAAAATAAGTGCAGAATTCCTTGAGATCTTAGGTATTAAGCCAAAGAAAAGACAGCAAGAAAGGAGGAAAAATAGCAGAAATGCATATATTGTAATAATCTTGGAAAACTATGATGGCACAATAGTGGCTATATTTAAGATTCCAACTGGGTCCCTCAAAAATTTACTTTTATTTTTGTATTGTTGATAGTTTCTCTATGACAGTCCACCTAAAGGAAGGCTGAAACTGTGATCAGTTCAAACAAGCCAAGGAAAAGGAAAAGTTAGGATTACAAATACATTTACACACTACAGTCCCTTCAACTCTGCCCTGTGGCTCAGTTCTTCAGAGCTGGCTGAACAACAGAACTGGCAATAGTTCTACTCTCCTAAAATGCTGTTTCATACTTAATATCCTGACCAGGAGAATACTAGGTCACTGCCAAGTCATAAAGTGGACTTGTTGGGCAAGAGAAACTTTCATCTATATAGTTCTGTCTACTTTTTATTCTTTTAAGCAGCAGAGCTACCCAGAAACATGTCTGGGGGAAAAAGGTGAAGAACTAGCAAGAGAAATAAGATACAGTTAAAAAAAAAAAAAAGGTACTGCATGGGCAGAATTAAGGAGTATTATAGAAATATTATTGACGGGACTACCCAATTCAACTTCCATTAAAATCTTTTCATCAACTTTAATGGGTACTATGTAGAATATTATTCTGTAAATGAACCAGAAGTTCAAATCAAAATTCCACTCTCTACAGTCTTCTGTATATAACGATTCTGTAAAGGGATATTTATTAAAATAAGAAATCCATGAACTTCAGTCTAGTCACCTTGAACTTATAGATAACTGCCTTCAAGAAAAGTTCCTAAGGATATACAAGAAGTTCTATCTCCATCTCCAAGTCTCTCCAAAAAGACATGGCTTTCAGAGATTCTCTCTTTATTTCATGTGGCTTTAGGAGCAAAAGCTAAATGGAGATTAAACGTGGATCAATTACACTGCACTCTAGATAAGCAGCATTATGGTAAATTGCTGCAGTTCAGGTATTTCAGTCTTTTAAAATGGTGAGGTATTTCAATTTTGGTGTACTGATTTCTTTATCAGTGCCAGACAGCAAAATGAATATAGCTCACTAGACCAAAAATAATTTAGTCAATATTAAAAAGAGGATAGTACCTTTACTAAAGTGCTTTCTGATCAGTCAATTCCCTTTATGTCCTGCTATTTTCTCAAATAGTTACCAGGGCAGTACCCATTTTTAAAAGTTGGTGCTGTATCAATAAAGGAAAATGGACACCTGTCAAACACTGCAATCAATCTTTCAATCATAATCAATAAAATCCATTTAGAATTTAACATCTAAAGAAAGCTCTATATTTTTATACCAATTGTATATTTCTTAACTATAGAGTGAGGCACTGAAACAGCCCTGTTGCTCAGCCTTTAAAATGAAACTCTGAAACCAGTTGTGGTGAACATTATCTTAGCTGATAGCATAATATTCTGATTTTTTACACCCACAGGCTACTCATTTTATTCGTATATTAGAAGTGGTGAACAAAGTTTCCAACATTGTGTCTTGAAAAATGAGTTTATACATACACAGAGGGAGTCAGTTCTGTAAAGAAGTTTTCTGTACATACACTCAGTGTTGCTAGACAAACACCGTTTAATTCCCATTTGTGTAGTTTTCTAGCAGTGTCACCCAGCAGAATAAAGAAATGTACAGACTCTAGATACGCAAAACCATGAAATCTTTTGTAACGACAGTTCTAGTCCTCTTTCCCCACCCCTCCACTCCTTAGTACTAGAACTATAAAGTTCCTAAAACTTATCCTTAATTCTGATAACTTAAAAACAATACAGTAAACTACATGAGCAATTACAAAAAAAGAAAGTATCCATAACCATTTGCGTATACAATCAAGAAACTAGATTTTGTTCTAAGATACTTTTTACATACTGCATCCTTCTATAGATCACTATATTCAATACTTAAAATTTACTTAAGATAGGATTACATTGTATACTTTGCATAATTTGTTCTTTTCAGTTTTAGGATACTGCAGAAATCTCAAGTGTTCCAACCCTGGAAAAGAATTCTTTAAGATACTATTAAACAGATGTGCATTTATACATACTTTTAAATTAATATAAGTAGCTATATTGCTATACAGATGAACACTACCATCAGCAGAATGACAAGTCTTCTCAGAGTTTTACAATAAAGTAGCCAGTTACAGTGCTGACCACTGATGTAAGTTTCTCCAAGAGAAAAAGAAAAGCTATGCCACTGGTTGAAAGTTAAAATCATAAGCCTCTTACTGGATTAGAACACAGAAAAAGACAGAATTTTTTCTTCTGTAGAAGAGAATTTGCTAATAGCCAAGTAATAAGCAAACTGGACCATGAATTAAGCTTAATCTTCGCGTTCTGCATTCTCAGGTTTTACCAATTTTCACTGATAAATTCCCGTGGGGGTTTTTTTTTTTGTTTTGTTTTTTTAAGTCATTCAGTTTTACACCCGTTTTTCAGTTCAAATCCCTGTTAACCAGCACAAGTGGGGAATGGCCCATTCCCCACTCGTGCCGGTTAACAAGGATTTGAACTGAAAAATGGGTGGTGCTGGTAAGCTAAAAGTGCCACTGTGCTGGTTACCTGAGGCACAGATTTCTGGCCAGACATCAGGCGGACAGTGATGGCGACCACATGAAGAGTGGGGGGCTGGGAGGGCAGTGGTGGCCACACAGGGGCTGGGGAAGGGTGGCTAGAGCCGCTACCTGGGGGCACAGGGCTCCTGACTGACCCTGGGTAGGGCGGGACAGGCTGCAGGAATTGCTTCCCAGGGCAGACAGGTCCGAGCTGCACCCCGGCAGCTCCAGCTTCGGCCCTGCCCTGGGCACTGGGAGCTGCAAGCACTGCTGGGGGGGGGGGGGGGGGGGGGAGGGTGGGGAGGGCTC